ATGCAACTGTGTGTTAATCACAAAAATTCAATGTTTAGTTTTAGATCACAAATGTTTATAAGACCAACTAACCCTATGTGTACCAGAGGCAACCTACAGTTCCAATAGTCTCCTATAACACCCCTTCCCCCCAAATAAAGGCTTTCCTTACAGTGCTTGAAAGTGTCCTTTTTTCACTAATCAGCCCCTGCCTTCTTAATGCCCTCTAATCATTACTGTTTAATTATTCAAATAAATACTTATCGTTAATTTTTACGTTTTCAACCAACCTTTTCTCATATAATTATTTCATGTTCCTAATGTTCTGTTTGACTAACAGTCTTGGTCTTCTATAATCTCCCAAGTCTTTCATTATAGCAGTCACTTTGAACTTCATAAATTTATAAAGTGTTTAGGTTTGAATCTCGTCACTGAACATGCTCACACTTTCAGCTTTTGGGCCATTATAGTGTGAAGGTCAATCCCACTATTAAAGTAAACCAAGAGCTGGCAGTGGATGGCGTTGACTAGCTGCCTTCTTTTTAATCTATCACTTCTACATTATGAACAGCTAGAACATGTAGCTATTGAGTAGCTTTTCACAAAATTCAACAAACAAATAAATTCTTTAATTTTGTTCCCTATACTCATTTTTAACCAAACCTGTCTTTTACTTTCAGCCATCTTTTTTTATTTTCTTATATGAAACATGTCTACATTTGATCACTATCTCCAATTAATTCAGTTACACAATTCATAATGTATAATTCTCATCACATCCCTTCAAAACTACATTTTTTGAAATTTGTAACCAAGATCTCATTATTCCTGATCTCTTCATGCAGTAAAGCATCAAACCTAACTGAGCAACGATCACTTGGACCTAGATGTTCTCCAACTGCTCAAAAATTTCTATATTACAAGTTAATAATAAATTCAAGATAGCACTGTTCCTCATAGGTTCTCTGACAACTGGTGAAGAAAACCATCCTGGGAGGCTTCTGAAAACCTGTCTTCTCATGATTTGTCTCTAAACTTTTGTGCCTGAAATTAAAATCTTCATAATTACGACAGCTGAAATATAATCTCACTGTACAGTTCCTCATTAACTGCATGAGTTTTACTTGGTGGTTTGTAACAAATTCCAAGCCTTCTCTCCCTATACCTTCTAACAGAAAACCAAATAAATTCAATATCATTGCTATTATCTTTGATAAACTCAACTTGAAGATTTAATTCACATTTCACATATAAAGCCACTCTATCGCTATTAAATGACCTATAGCCCCATCATCAACATTTTCTTCGTTTAACCACAACATTAACATTCTTTCATGAATATAATGAGAAAAAAAAAACTTACCTGACCAAAACATGGCCTCAGTGATGAAGAATAATCTTGGAGTATTTCTTCACACATTTGGTAAGATCTACTGTTCCTGGAAATTTCTTCATCTCGAGCCATGTTCCTTGTTCGACATCCACGTTTAACTTCCCAGCTCCGAGCAAAAGATCTGACTTTTTGTGCAATATGCCCTTTTGGTTTAAGCATATCATTGAAAGGTTCATTATCATAGGTTCCCAGCAATCCAGCAGTTTTGCTATAGTACCAACCACTCATGACCACCGAGCAAACATCACGTTCTAAATGGCATGACACAGTAATTCCATGTTTGTCATCCACTACAATTTGACCTCTGTCATACATGACAGTTACATGTTCCAAGATCAAAGGCAATTCAACTACCTGTCCATCAAGCGTTACCTGAACAAAACAGTGTTCTTTACTAAACACAATGATTCCTTTTTTCCCATTTATAAAAGTTTAGGAACTAATACACAAGTCTTTCTATAACAATTTAATTTTATAAAGTATATTCTTATAAATTATAATGTTGAATTTACAAGGAATATAATGCAATTAATACTACATGTAGCAAATTCATCAATGCACAATGAAATGAAAAAAAAATGTTTTTTTTAGAATGACTGCAGGTTATAACAGTTTAAAATTATTTGCCCTAATTAATTTAGACCTCTTAAACTTATCGTCATTTAGTATATCTTCTGTGGTACTAATTGAGATTAGTGTACTGTCAGGATGCATTATCCTTATTCAATAAATCTTCTATAATATTAACAACAGTTAAGAATTCGATGACAAGGAACCCACTTTGAGACTAATAATGGCTGGAGACGGCTTGAATGGGTAATGAAGAAAAACTTTAATATAACAGCAAATGTACAACGT